TGAGGTATTTAGAAATGCTGTGAGGTTCTTATATGATTTAAGTGGTTGATTGCTAACACAAACAGTCAAGATAAATATCTTTTAATAAAACCAAAACACCTGGTTTGGAGCCAGGGCATTCTTAGGGCTCAAACTAGTTCTTACTCAATATACTAGTATGTTTTTGGATTACTTATTTTAGAAAAATCTTGACCCCATTGTTAGGTGCCTGTATTTTCACAGTTGAGCATGAATTCCTATCTTTTATGTGCCTATTATCAAAAGATTACAGGTCTCGTTAAAATTAACAGCAGCTAAGATTGGCACTTCAGATAGGTCTTCTTGAGGAATACTACTGTGCTTTAATGCATGAGCCCTTCCCATAATTTCCTTCCCTTAATATCAATTCCAGAAACATCTCAATGAATATGGCTACTTTTTATTCTTCCAAGTTTTCTTAACAGTGTTTGTATGTTATATAGTTGAAAATTAATGTGTTTAGATCATACTATTTTAACTTTCTGCAGAAATACTTTAACTGAATTAACACTTAATGTACCATTAGCTTGATTTTTAAGAAATGTCCATTTAATAAACATGTCTTTTGAGAAGTCATAAAAATTTTCCATTATGAATTCAGTGCCAGAAATTTTATTTTTTCTTCGAATGAACTTTCTCTTAATCAGGCATTGAGAACTGTATAATACAATACTTATCTTTTTTGTTTACCTAAAGGTAAATTCGTTAAATTTCAAGGCTAAATATCCTTGATTCCATCTAAGATGCCTGGTAATATTTATTTTTGAACTTTGTGTTCTATTTTTCATTTTCTTTCTCACTTTGAGGATACAAAAATAGGACATTGTGAGGTAAAGATACAAAATCTTTTGAAAGTGCAATCATTGTATTATGGAAGCATTTTTTTTTGTGAGGAGATCAGCACTGTGCTAACATCTGACAATCCTCCTCTTTTTTTTTTTTTGCTGAGGAAGACTGGCCCTGGGCTAACATCCGTGCCCATCTTCCTCCACTTTATATGGGATGCTGCCACAGCATGGCTTGCTAAGCAGCGCGCCGGTGCACGCCCAGGATCCGAACCGGCGAACCCTGGGCCGCCACAGCGGAGTGCGTGCACTTAACCGCTTGCGCCACCGGGCCGGCCCCTGGAAGCATTTTTAAGGGGCACATAACCCAGGGAAAATGCTTGAGTTGAATCTTCATTAGTACTTGGCATATATTGCTGTGCACCAAAAGTTCAAATCAGTGAAGTTATCTAGCAAAAATTAATAGGATTTTATTGCTCTTTGGCATGTAACTTAGCACAGACTAGTCACAAGGACATAGTAAGTGGATTTTTTTAATTCAGCTTGTTATGTTTTTTCACAAGAACTTACATGTAATACTTACAGCATTATCTAACAATGTTGAATGAAACAACTGATAGAGCAAAATATGTACATTACATATAACAGACAACTGGTTGTCATTTTGTAAAGTACTTATAGAGAAAAAGTCAGAATAATCCCAGAAACTGGAACATAATTAGACATGTCATAGAAGAAAATAAAGTTTGTGAACAGACATGGGAAAATATTTTATATTCCTAGATATAGAGGTAATACAAATTAAAATTAAAAAATTAATTCCAGTGCTAGAAAGAGTACTGTAAAAGTGGAACTTTTAAAAGGTTTTATAATTCCTTTGGAAGTGAGTTAAAGATGTGTTAAGCTATCACACATTTGTGATTCTGTTTTAAGGTAGGCATTAATTTTTTTGTCATTTGTTTATTGAAATATAATTTATATACAATAAAATCCATCTTTTTTAGAATACAGTTCTGTAAGTTTTGACAAACATACTGTAATTTGTAGTTTTGACAAACATATATTGTAACCACCGCTATAATAAAGACAGAACAGAAAGTTCCTTCATGTCCCTTTGCGGTCATCCTCTCTCCCAGCACCCAACCCCTGGCAATCACTGGTCTGTTATCTGTCCTTATAGTTTTTTGGGCATTAATTTTAATAGTGAAAACTCTGAAGCAGTGCAGATGTCGGTCAACAGGGAAGTGTTTGCAGATGTCGGTCAACAGGGAAGTGTTTATGTAATTTATGACATGCCACATTACTTGAACTTTCACCGTAAAGCCATTAAGAATGATTATGTAGTATCTATGTAGTTCATGTAGACAGTGTAGTAACATAATTGACAAAATGACCAAGATGTAGGTGAAAAGCAGGAAATAGTTGTATATGTACTGATTACCACTCTATCAGAACATACCATGTAAAGAGACTTGGAGACATGACACAAAAATTATAGTTGCTTTAAAACTGCCTTTTTTTTAGGGCTTCCAAGGTGTGAAAGTGTGGTGGTTATATACTTAACTTCATAGAGTAATTAAGAAGCTTTTACTTTTTAAGCTTATTTTATCCTCAGAAGCTAAGTTTGAATTACTTTTTGTGATATCAAGTATCAGAAATTTAAGAATCTACCTTAGCTTTAATGGTGTGCTGTTATCTGGGATATAAAGGAAATATAGCATCTGTGTTCTTTAGGAATAGACAGTTTGGGTAAGAAAACCTATTCATGAAGCAGTAATGTTATGCTATTGTAAGCTATTACATAATATCATAGATACACTATGAGTACGTACCAGGATGAGTGATACATTTATTCACCAAGCATTCTCAAAATGACAAATTGATATGGTATAACCAAGAAGGTGTCTTTGAACAGCTGAAATTTCTGGTGCAACTTGAAGGACAAGAAGTTAAAAAGGTAAAGAAGAGAGTGTATTACAGGAAAATTAAGAGCAAGAGGCATGGAGATGGGAGTGAGCAGGTCTGTTCCTGGTGCTGGGATGGAGTGATGTGAAACATAAGCAGAATCTCTGACTGCAGGTATTGATAATGTCTTTTGGATTAGAGTGGGTGTTGGCAAACTATGGCCCAGGAGTCAAATCCTGTCCACCTCATTTTTTGCTCTCTCAGTGCTTAGTTGCCATACACATTGCTAAAACATTCTATCAGACACCATTCCATTGTAGACCATTGAAATCCTGGATCAGAATAAAAATATCCAGATAATTATGTAGCCCCTGTAGATACCATGGAAGACTAAAGAGGATAATTCTTGCTTTTTACAATTTTAGTTATAGATTTTTATGTGAAGTATTCAGGTTTAAAATACTTTCTAGTATACATGCTGTGTCAGGGGTCCCCAAGGCCACCTTCATGTTTGGAGGTGACTCAGCGTGTAATTGTACTCACAGCCGAGATTTATTAAAATGATGTAATAAGGGCATGCAGCTGGATCCTAAAGGGAAAGGCATAGGTTGGGGTCTGGAGGAATCTATGTGCAGGCTTTTTTATGTTCTCTCCTTCTCATGACAGGTCACAGAGCACAGTCGTCTTCTAGCAGCATCAATGCATGTGTGCAATATTTCTGCCCAGGGAAACCTGTTAGAGACTCAGTGCCCAAGGATTTTATTGGAGGCTGATCATGTAGACAACCTTTGCTAAGCACAGATCTAAAATTCTAGACTCCCACAAGGAAAACAGGTGTTCAGCATAAAATGCATTGTTTACACAAACAGTGAGTTATGCTTATCATTTGGGGAAAGTTTTATATCTTGGAACTGTTTACCAGACAAATTCCGAGAAGCCAACCAGGGGCCATTCTTGCAAGCAGGTCTTTCTAAGGATAGCTGTGTCAGCCAGCTATGTTAACTCTTTTCTGTGCACATGCTTAAAATGACTCACTGTTGAAATTCTCTTTAAACATTGTATGTAAATATCAAATGTTTGCATGATGATTTCTGTTTTGATAATTAGTAAAATTTTTATCATTAAACTTAGGTAGCTAAAATACTTGGGTGGTTATAATGTCTTAATATGTTCCATACAGGCTTTTACTAATGTGCCAGTGCCTATTGTCAGTTTTAATCCATGTGTGAGAAGAACAGGACAGTATTAGAACATTTAGTACATCTAAAAAGAATGGTTAAAAAATTAAACTACAATGGGAAATAATGCATTATGAAAGGACACTTAAGATGTCTGCTTTTAAAGTTCATATTGAACCACCCACATATTTTTCAGATTTCATTGGACTTGTTTTTCTTATGGGACCTTTTTGAGGAAAGTGTTTTGTTACCAAGAATTTTGACTAAAACAGCTGAAGTTCACTTGGCAATCAGAAATACTGAAAAAATAATTTCTGACTACTATCAGAATCAAATTGGAGAATCTTAGGTATTATAGACTAGATTTCTCATTTATAAATGTGGAAGCTGACCCAGAAAGTTAAGTGACTATCAGCAAAACTATGAATAGCTGGTTAATTTCATTTTATCAGTTTTTAGTCATAGAATATGTACTTGAAAACATTATTGAAAAATACCAAGAGGCTATGGATTAATTTTGACTTTCATTTAGTGACTTGGGATATCTTTTCATGCCTAATTTGGTCATTTCATTTATTCAACAAACTTAAGAAGTATTTCTTTAACCCGTGCTGTGTGTCAGACACTGTTTTAGGTGTTGGGGATCTTTTTCTTACTTGTAATCAAATTCAAGTATGTCCCATTAAGAGCGACTTGGAGGTGCCTGCTTTTCTTGAGGTTCTAAAGTACATACATGTAGGGCCGCCCCCGTGGCTTAGCGGTTGAGTGCGCGTGCTCCGCTACTGGAGGCCGGGGTTCGGATCCTGGGCGCCCACCGACGCACCGCTTTTCCAGCCATGCTGAGGCAGCGTCCCACATACGGCAACTAGAAGGATGTGCAACTATGACATACAGCTATCTACTGGGGCTTTGGGGGAAAAAAGGAGGAGGATTGGCAATAGATGTTAGCTCAGAGCCAGTCTTCCTCAGCAAAAAATGAGGAGGATTAGCATGGATGTTAGCTCAGGGCTGATCTTCCTCACAATAAATAAATAAATAAATAAATAAAGTACATACATGTATTACATTGTATCCTGGTCCCTCAAAATATGTCTCTTTTTTTCCTCTCCTTAAGGAAATACTGCATTGCATGATTGTGCAGAATCTGGAAGTTTGGACATCATGAAGATGCTTCTTATGTATTGTGCCAAGATGGAAAAGGATGGTTATGGAATGACTCCCCTTCTCTCAGCAAGTGTGACTGGTCACACAAATATTGTGGATTTTCTGACTCACCATGCACAGACCAGCAAGACGGAACGGATCAATGCTCTGGAACTTCTGGGAGCTACATTTGTAGACAAAAAAAGAGATCTACTTGGGGCTTTGAAATACTGGAAAAAGGCAATGAACATGAGGTACAGTGATAGGACTAATATAATTAGCAAACCAGTACCACAGACACTAATAATGGCTTATGATTATGCCAAGGAGGTAAACAGTGCAGAAGAACTAGAATGTCTTATTGCTGATCCTGATGAGATGAGAATGCAGGCACTATTAATTAGAGAACGTATTCTTGGTCCTTCTCATCCTGATACCTCTTACTATATTAGATATAGAGGCGCTGTCTATGCAGACTCTGGAAATTTCAAACGATGCATCAACCTATGGAAGTATGCGTTGGATATGCAACAGAACAATTTGGACCCTTTAAGCCCCATGACTGCCAGCAGCTTACTGTCTTTTGCAGAACTGTTCTCTTTTATGCTACAGGATAGGGCTAAAGGCCTGCTGGGCACCACTGTTACATTTGATGATCTTATGGGCATACTATGCAAAAGTGTCCTTGAAATAGAGCGAGCTATCAAACAAACTCAGTGTCCAGCTGACCCATTACAGTTAAATAAGGCTCTTTCTATCATTTTGCACTTAATTTGCTTGTTAGAAAAAGTTCCTTGTACCCTAGAACAGGACCATTTCAAAAAGCAGACTATATACAGATTTCTAAAGCTACATCCAAGGGGAAAGAATAACTTCAGCCCTCTTCATCTGGCTGTGGACAAGAATACTACATGTGTAGGGCGGTACCCTGTTTGTAAATTTCCATCTCTGCAAGTTACTGCCATACTGATAGAATGTGGTGCTGATGTGAACGTCAGAGACTCCGATGACAACAGTCCCCTACATATCGCTGCTCTGAACAACCATCCAGACATCATGAATCTCCTTATTAAATCAGGTGCACATTTTGATGCCACAAACTTGCACAAACAAACTGCTAGTGACTTGTTGGATGAGAAGGAAATAGCTAAAAATTTGATCCAGCCCATAAATCATACCACATTGCAGTGTCTTGCTGCTCGTGTCATAGTGAATCATAGAATATATTATAAAGGGCATATCCCAGAAAAGCTAGAGACCTTTGTTTCACTTCATAGATGATAATTTGACTGTATTTTAGCACTGTTAAAGCACGAATTGGTAACAGTTGTTTCATAAATGAGCACTGTTGTGATAACACCAGCATTCGTTTAGCTTGATATCATTGTGCTCTCATTGGCTAAAGCATTATAAGCATCAAATTTACAGGTTCCTCAGTATTTAATATAAATATACCATATAATATATTGTTTGTGAATTATTGAGAAATGTAACGTCATATTCACATTTCTAAAATTGTCTGCCAAAGGCCGATCGATTCTGGTTCTGTTTGCTGTTGGGTGTTTGGAACAGAGTTAACGATTTTTCGGTGGTGTCTTTATACTCTTCTGGTCTGTGAATTTTATACAATTGAAGGTCTGTTTTTTCTGCTGCTTCCTTCTCTTCTCCAAGCTTCTCCTCTATTTCCACTTTATTTTTTTCCTGACTAATTCTACTTATCATTTTTTTCCCCTTATGGACTTTTTTCCATGCTAGGTTGTACAAACTTTATGGACTTGTTACCATTTGCAGTTACCATAAGTGCTTTATCTTCTCTATGCACCGGCTTAGACTTGACTGTTTTATGTTAGCATATTTTCTATGCAGTGGTTGGTCAATTTCAACTCAAAACACTGTTAAGTTTGTTACAAAGTTCATTTTATGAAAGTACTCTAGTAGCATGACAATTTTTAGAGCTATAGGTTAGCTGCCTGAGCTCAAGCCTTTTTGTTTGTTTTTTTCCTTCACATCTGAGATTTCTTTCTCTAATCCACTGAAATTATTGTGTGCTAAATTTGGGAAACAAATCTATTCTAACTCATTAACCCAATTGAAATTTAGGTCTGTCATCTTAATATATCATGCAGTAAAAGGAAGAATCTTTATCAAGTGACCCACCTTTCATGCTGCGCCAGCGTTGTCCTGCTTATGCTGATAATGTGATTAGGTGTAGAGAATTTGCTTAAATTTAACCTCCAAGTTTATCACACAGCTTAATGAGTCACACTGAAATATTCAGTAATTGAACTGCAAATCATTTTAGTTACAAAAAGAACTAAAGCATGTCAGTGGCATGATGCTTGCCAAGCCAGATCTAGGCACCTAGGATAATTAAGGTATTTTAGTGTGCAGTTTACTGCCCTAGTATCAAAGGTCAGTAACAGTGTTCTTTCTTTCTTCAAGCTTAGGTATACCTTTAAAGATAACTTGCATGAATTACTTTGGTCTCAATTATTTGTCACCATAGTTAAACACAAATGGTTGCAGTGCTTCCTGTTCCCTTACTGAAAGTTAGTTTTTCTTTTCTTTTCTTTTGAGGTTTTTTAAACAGCTTTGCTAATACCACAGAAAGGGCTCTTTTAACTTAAGAACAGATAAATGAGAAGTACTAAAAAAGATTCAGGTAATTATCATTCAGCACTTTATTGTTCTTCAGATTAAAATTTATGATGGCATATTTGCCCTGCAATTGTCTTAATAAGATTGTTCTGAATAAAAAGCTCCATATTGGTTTGAGAAAACTCAGTTTACCTGTGATTTTAATGAGTGGAATCACTGGGATTTTTGTGTTGACATTTTATTCTGAGGGTTGATGTAATGGTATTTAAGGAGTTATCATTGCAAATAGTCACATTAGGTTTATTTCATCTTTATTCAGTAAAAGACTTGTAATGAGGAGTAGTACATAAACAAAAAAGCATTAGACTTACTTTCTGGTTGAATAATTGGGGTTTAATTTTTTAAAAGATATCCTTACTCATTTTACTAGGTTGTAAATTTAATTTTGCCTTTGAAAAAAGTGGATTGGATATAAATGATTGCTCTCTAACCTTTTGATGAAGAGATTTTAATATCTTATTTACCATGGGCAAAATTGGTAAAATATTTGAACTGCCACATATGTTTAGAATAATTTGTGATTTAGACAAATATTCTAGAAATATCAGACATCAGTATTTTGAAATCATTTGCCTCTAACCTTGTAGTATAAGAATTATATATGCATGAGCTAATTTTTGTGAAAAACAAAAACTTTATAAGTACAGTAAATCTACATTAGTTGATCTCAATAATTTTTGGGTAAAGGATGAGGAATTGGATTTTTAAGTGGTTTAATATTTACCCCTCTTTTTTGGGGGAGGGGATAGGAGGGCTTACATGCTCTTATAGTAAGGTACATCTCACACTCTTTTACAGGTGAACTTGAGTTGTGCAACTCTAGTATAAAATAAGGATTTCTTTACATAGCATTTTTCCACCACTAAATATGGATAACTTAGAACTACTCCTCAGTCTTGATAACTGAATTGTCTTCTTCTTTCAATTAGGATACAATTCTCTGTTTGCCATATTCTCAGATCCTACTAGGAGCTCTTGAAAAACCAGTTAGTTTAACAGCTCAAAATTGTCGCTGATTTTATTTTAGAGGAGGTTGGTTAATAAACATGACCTCAGACACTGTTAAGGCCTTTGTCAGAAAGTATTCTCAAAATTGTTGTGAGACTGAATGTTAAAAGATACTTAATTTATGTTATTTTCTTAACCACAGATGAGTAATTTAATACTTAGTGAGCTAACTGTACTCATTTGAGTTGAACTGTACACTGTAGTGTGGTGATGTTGGCTGGAGTTAATGTTTAAGTTTTTATTACATTTCTATAAAAATGCCTTGTTAAGGCCTGCTGAATTTTAGATTTTTCACTATTGATCATTTCTGTAAAAGAAATGATCATTTTACTCAGAGTAGATACCAGCCTACTTTATAAAGACAAGTGGATTGTAGATTTAAAAAATAGTCATTTTCTTATCCATAAATCTAACAGGGCCATAAGCCCAAATCAGCAAAGGGTAATTTGGTGCCCGTTATGATTTTGAAGTTAAGTGATTGCTCACTTATGAAGTGACAATCTTAATGTATAATATTTTAGAGACCCCTATCGACTGTGACTTGGGAAAACTGTTTAGGTTATATCTGGAAAAGTAGCTCTTTAAAATCATATTGCCCAGCAGAAACCTTAGGTTGAATTTTATAGGTATAATAATCTTTATAATTAATTTTCTAGGAATTATGGGGGCCAGATAAGATAATAACCATAATCTTGTACACTGTAACAGCAGCATTATTGCTTGGAACATTAACCATTTTAGAGTTAGATACTAAGGAAACTAAAATTAATTACTCATCACCTTTTTTTTTTTACCCTCATATATCACTAAACAACTAGTTTGTTTCTCTCCCTTTTTGCCAGTTCCCATTGTGTATTTTTCAAAAGAAGTACTGTATTCAGATGCCAGCCAATAAATTGTCACACAATGGAAAATGATATGCCACAACATTCATTGTAAGGTCTAATAAAATTAGATTTGCACCAAATACAAGTGTATTCTTACTAACTCAATACTTGATTGATGTTATCTCAATGCATATAATTGTGGACTCCTCTTTCAAAAAACACCTATTTGGTCATTTATAGTCAGTTAGAACTTGAGCTGGCATTTAGTATTGATATTTCTATGTAAAAAACAAAGATGATTTATGTACAGTTTATTCTAAATTTTTTTTCCAGTCAAGACCACAGAAACTAAAGATATGGGAAGACTTTTGTTGTCAAATACAAGGGAGAGGAGCTGCTTTTAACTCTGGGTCTTGTTTTGTTAACTGGTTTGGTGTTAAGTATCAGAAGCATGTCATAAATATATTACTACGAAGGTAAGTTTTATGCATTTATTTCCATCACTTTTAAATCGTAAAATGTAAGTACTCCTTGTCTTTTCCTGGATATGAAAGTTTTCTAATACAAAAAGTTTTAATAGGTTCTGAAAACGCAGTGCCTCTCGTTTCTAAACTCCAAGCATAAATTGAAATATCCAGTTGTATAGGCTTTCCTGTTTTGAATCTTTAACCTACCTTACCCATAACAAGTACAGGCTTTGTCATCTTTTTGACAGGACTCTTAAACCTTAGTCATCTTTTCCCTTGGTTCTATGGTTGTCCCCAACTACCACCACATATTTGACCTTGATTTATTAATTTACTTTTTTTCTTTTCCAAATGACCAGATATAACTTTGACATTGCAGGTTTCCCCCCTTGTTTACGTAATAGATAACCAGTATTAATTGATCCTAGAATTGATATTTATTTTTAAAATCCTTTCATCCTTATAATTGAATGCCTTTGGAGATTATAAAGCTATAAAAGGACACTTGTGATAATACTTAGTTCTAAAACTTAGCAAGCACCTTGATTCTTATTTTTTAAAAACAGTGTATTTATTTAGTATTCATTTAAGGGCTCAACTGGAGACAAAATACAAAGAAAGGACAGACGATCTAAGGAAAAAATAAAAGGACAACACAGAGAGAGAGGCTGGACAGCCGGGGTCAGGGCTCTTGGAGAGAGTCCAGCTCTGTGTAGATTTCTTGCGGGTACTTCTTAAAGGTGCAGGTGTTCCCAGATGTTGGCAGCATGTGTGTTCAAAGGGCTGTGGATGCTTGGTTCTCCTAGCAGGCTCTGCATGGACAGCAGGATGGTCCTGACGTCACACAGGGCTGATCACTTGTCTTCAGGATGTCCAGGCAGACGTGACCCTGGTGTCTAAATGGGGGTGGTAGCCAGGCATGAGGAGCTTTACCCGGGGTGTGCTGTGACGGAAGCCACTGGGGAACTCAGGAAGAGATACCTCAGGTCTTCACAGTCTGTTCCCGCTGCTCCATGGATGATATCCCCACGCTCGGAAAGGTGGTGTGATTCAGGGAAGGTGGAAATTCCCTTGTTGCCAAATTTCATGGGGATCATCAGCTCCTGCTGGAGCCTCTTGCTCACAGAGCCCCAGACGGCACCTTTGCTGGGCCTGGCTCGTTACAGGCCAGGTAGTGGTTCTGGGAGGCCATCCCTATCTTAATTCTTTAATAGTAAAAGTAGTTCCGGTTAAGCATTCAGTCAATAATATTGAATTCCTGCAGTACCGGGCAGTATGCCAAATGATGATTATTGTATCCACTCACTGTAGAAGACTTTAGAAAATAAGCAAAAAGAAAACCAGACTCACCTCCCAGTTGTACACAGTTAATGCTTAGCTGTGTTTTCCTTTTGTGTGTGTGCCGTTTTAAATTTTGAGTTCTTTCAGGAAAAATAAATTTTTAAAGTGGTGACTTGTAGCTAAAATTCAGGAAATTCTGAAAATAGAATTCAGTCAAGAATGA